CTCACACAACTCCTGGAACTTTGAATCTGTGTACTCAGTACCATTATCTGACCTGAGACATTTAATCTTCCTCCCTGTCTGGTTCTCTACTTCAGCTTTTCACAGCTTGAACTTGGCAAGCGCTTCAGACTTGTGCCGCATGAAGTACACCCAGACCTTTCGTGAGTAATCATCAATGAAACTCACGAAATACATGTATCCTCCCCGTGATACTACGCTAACTGGTCCCCAAACATCTGTATGGACATAGTCAAGAACCCTCTCTGTCTTGTGTGTGGTTGTCTTGAACTGCACCCTATTCTGTTTTTCAAGAACACAATATTTGCAAAAATTGAGCTTGCATGTCTTGACACCATTCAATAGATTTTTCTTATGAAGCTCTATCATCCCATGCTCACTCATATGACCCAGCCGCATATGCCACAAGACTGTATTATCTGATTCAGATTTTACAGTAGCAACTCTACCTACAATTGTAGTACCCAACAGTCTGTAAATGTTTCCTGCTACTTTCTGTCCCTTTATCACTGTCAGCATCCCTTTACTCACTTTCATTACTCCACTTATAGATTTGTAACTATAACCATTACAATCCAAAGTGTCCAATGAAATCAAATTCTTCCTTAGATTCAGTACATGTCTAACATCACACAACATTCTAACCATACCATTAAACATCTTAATTCTAATATTTCCTATTCCAACAACTTTGCAAGATGCATCATTACCCATCAGAACAGAACCAGAATTTACTGACCTGTAGGTGTCAAACCAATCTTTGTTGGGTGTCATGTGATAGGAACATGCTGAATCCATAATCCAAGAATCTGTTAAACAATCTGAACTGGATAAAACAGAAAGCATATCATCGTCACCACTCTCTGAATCTTCTTCTTTCACTACGTTTGTAGACTTTGATGCACTCTCTTTGTCCTCTGAATCCCCTTTCTTTTTCTCTGGACAATCCCGTTTAAAGTGCCCCTTTTTCCTACAGTTGTGACACGAGATGAAGACGTCCTTCTTCTTCTTCCTCGACTTGGACCGGGCTTTATTGTTACCCGATCCATTTCGAGATTTGCTTCTTCCACGTTCCTGGTTACCTTTCACCATAAGCCCTTCACCTTGTGAAGCCTCATCACTGGCTTTCTTCCGCCGATGAAAACCTAACAGAGCACCTGTGACATCCTCTAACTCGAGGGTTTCTTTTCCCCACATCAGAGTCGTAACCAAATTCTCGTACGTAGGAGACGCCGGTAGGGAATTAAGCAATATCAGCGTCTTGTCTTCGTCTTCGAACTTCACATCAACTCGCTGATGATCTGATTCAACACATTGATGTGTTGGGTCAAATCTGAGCCCTCTGACATCTTAAGACCATATAGTTTTTGCTTAAGGTAGAGCTTGTTCGTCAACGACTTGGACATATACCGACTTTTCAGTTTCAACCAAACTTCCGCCGGTGATTCCTCATCCATGAAGTGATGTATCACTTCATTAGCTAGACAAAGCTTAATAGTCGCCACAGTCTTCGCTTCCAATTCTTTACAATCCATGTCGTTCATTCCTGCCGGTTGTTTTCCATATAACGCCTTCACCATGCCCTGCTGCACTAACAGGTCCTTCACCCTCCTCTACCATAATCCGAAATTTTTAGTTCCGTCGAACTTCATGATGTCGAATTTTGTAGAAGAAATCCTAGACATCGTAGTCTAGCTTTGATACCAGTTGTTGTGATCGTGCAGCAATTATGGTGAATAATAAGGAATCAAACAATTAAGAAAGCAAGAGAAAATAACACACAGAGATTTACGTGGTTCGACAATCATATTTTAGGGATAATAATCTGTTAGAGCAATTATCCGCTTCGCTACGTTCCGCTTCGCTCCACTCCGCTACGCTCCGCCCGCTCTGGCATCTGCCTCCTTGTCATTGTGCACACAGCAAATATGAGCCACACATACTCTAATAGATTATTATCCCTAAAATGTGGTTGTGCCATTATACACATCTAAAAAAAGGGACTTGTGTGTTGGGAGTTTAAACAAAGGCCAGTTGCCCCCGCATGCTAAAAATAAGATAAAAGAAAGGGCCGAGAGATCTTTTACAAAGGTAAATGACTGACGGTTATAGAAGAGGTAATTCCTTCAGCAAAGAAATGTGAAAAACCCACTAACTAAGAATTGGTTACTAATGGAGGAGGTGCTAGTTGTTGGCATGTTGAAGGAAAGCTAGCTGCCCTTATATGCAAACAAAAAATCCTCTATAAATGGTAAAATGAAGTGCATAAACTTGGCATCGTGTGAAGTAGTTTCGCAGCCCACTAAAGTGTCAGTTTCTAGAAAATCTTCTATAAATATCAGGAGGGGAGATGTAAAGCAGAAAGAAGAGAGTACGGCTAACAAAAGAAGAAGGGAAGAAAGGCGAAAAAAAAAAGAGAGTTTTTAGGAGAGAAGCCAAGGGCTTACTTCAGCATACTCTCCCTTTCTCTTTGATTTAATGTCTTGAATTTTGGTTGCAGCAAATGGGAGTTTAAAGCCAAAGCAGCCCAAAACAATGGCGCTGAATCCGAATCACCTCAGTTATGAATCTAAGGAGTTTTCAACTCCTAAAGTTCGGTCGATGCAAAAGTCTCAAAAGCTTTATACTTTTCCCAGCTAGAACCTTGCCCTCTACTTGGACCAAGAACTCTCGGAAGTCATCCGACTTCTCGCGGCAAAGGCTATTGATATGATCGAGCATGCACACGAAGCCAACAACAAAAATATTGTTGCAGCTACTACCCAAATCCAAAAATCAGCAACAAAAGAAAACCAAGAAGGGTGGGGAATCAACAAGAGTTTTGCACTCTTTCAATTTCGATGTTTTCGACGATGCCTATTGTTCTTTTGAGTCACTGTTAAAGAGTCTCAAACTTTTTAAAATAAGAACGTTCCAGTGATTCTGAACCACTTCTGAGGTCACAAATCATGAGAGTTTCTTACTCTTTAAGTTCGCGGCGTAACAAAAAAATATTTCTCGAGTTTTAAACTCATCTAAGAACCATCAAGAGTCTTTGACTCTTTTATCTTTTATCAAGTCACGGAGTCTTCGACTCCCCTCTGAAAAAATCACCAAAGTGAATACACTTGTATAAGAGGCTTTGGCTCTTTAAGAATTACATGAATTAAAGGAGTTTCTAACTCCTCATCATCCTCATTGGTGTATTACATCACCTTTGTTCCAGCAAATGCAAAATAAAATGGCAATAACTTTTAGTCTTTCAAAGACCCATTCAAGATTGCTTCTTTGGTCTTTCAAAGACCACAAGGGTGAAATGAAGACATACTTTTTGACTCTAAATTGAAATTTCTAACTTGCAAAAAAGTTTTGGAGCCTTTGACTCCAAGCTGGAGTTTTCAACTCCTCTTTATCCATTCCAATGAGTCATCTTTTGTCAATTCTTGGTTTCTCTAAAACAATGTGAAAGAGTTCTTGATTTTTTTTTTTTTAAAGCCATAAATTAATAGAGTTTCAAACTCCTAAAAATTTGAGAATTTTTAACTCCTTAAAAAGAATCTAGAGTCTTTCATTCCTCTCACGCGCACACCAACAGAAATGATACTTTGAATGACATCTCTGACAATAGCCTGTATGGCCGAAATTCATATACAAAAAGAAATTATATAAAGTAGTTTAATTTAATTCGGAGCCTTGGACCGGAGAAGAGTTTCTAACTCTTCGAATAGGATCCAAATTCTTTCACTCCTTTACATAAACAAGTGAACAATTAAAAAAAGAGTCGTTAGCCTTGGGCTCATTCTGGGCAACATGAGTACTCTGGATTTAGATTTATCTATTTAAGTTCTTCATTATTTTTTTTTGTAGTTTTACGCTCCTACAAATTAAATAGTATAAAAATTAAATTAAAAATTTTATAACTCTTTATTAAATTTCGGAGTTTTAAACTACTCAATGGTCTTTATTAAGGGGTTTTGGACCCCCAATAAATTTTTGAGTTCTTAAGTCGCAACCTATGTGAATCCTAAAATTCACATAAGTTTAAGTAATTTTAAATACGACTCAAGTTCATCTCAAAGAACAATAGGTCATTTATTCATTTCAAACTAAATCAAGTTAAATTTTCAATTAAATGAGTCATTCACTCATTTAAAGTCCCACTCAAATTCAAAATCATTTTCAAGAACTACAGTTGACTTGATTCTCTTTTAGTTACGTATGCAATTTAATTAAAGTAGGTGCAGTTGCAAGTTTAAATCAACTTCAAATAGATTCAAAATTCTTGTCCCGAACTACAAATCGGTTTGATTCTAATAACGAGTATGTAGAGCAGCCTATGCAATTGACCGAAGTCTAGCTACCATCACAAATAAAATACGTACCCTTGTGGGATGAATGGTAACGCGTGGTAATTTCTCGTTGGAATCAAATGATGTTCTATTGAAACAAGAGATTATAATTAACGGATATATGCTATCTGGAATAGGTCCAACTATATTAATAAAAATCGTATAATTCCTCGTTATATGAGTAAAGTTGTGTTCGAAAAAATATTCAAATTTTTGTCTAACACAATCCTCGGCAAACAATAGGGTAAACCTAAAGGGGTAACTCAAGTAATAACAGAGACGAAGTATAAACTCAGACGTCCTGAGTTCGAATCTTGATAATCCATTGGGGCTAATCTATGAGGAATTTATCCATCATGAATGCCCTAATTCTGGCGTGTATGATACGCCTCAGATCAAATCAGAGAGGGGATTAATCACCGTGTAAGTAAATTGACTGGATATCTTTGACCGTTGAACTAAAAAATAAACAAAAAAATAATTGAGTCTCGAGTGATAAGGGCCACATAGATGAAGCATTTTTTTTTTTTTGGGCTCATTGAGTTATTTATTAACAACAGAGCACCTCTCACATAGGATAGTTATGCAGTGGAAAATCAAACATAGGGAACCATTAGGGTCTCATTTTTTATTTCTTATTAATTTGGTCCCAATCTAGTTGTCCTCTTTGAGGAAATTCTTGAACCAGTAGGAAGAGTTCTTATAGGCTCTGCTCAAGTAGCCTTTCTTCTGATCATTAGTTTCATCGTAGTTCACGTAGATGATGCCAAAACGAACAGTGTAGCCATCCAGCCATTCGAAATTGTCCAATATCGACCATAAAAAATATCCTTTCACATTTACTTTATCGTTCCTGAAACAATTCAATCAATATATATATATTCAAAGTTAACGATGAAAATTATTTTTTAAAAAAATGGGAAATTATACTTTATCCCGATTTCATTTTGATCTAAATTAGTGAGTTTTCTCACATTACTTCCTCAACTATAGGAATTGGTTTGGACTTTTCCAAAACAAAATGTACGCATGTCCTATTTTGAACGGACGACAACAAATGTCCTCGTAGCATTAGATTTTGTGCATGGTGACATAAAATCACACAGTATCGGGGACAATGAATCTTAAAGATTTATGAATTAACTCATGCTTGACTAGCCAAGTAAATGAACAATCAACATTCGTTCACGTCGGGAAGTATTTCCCCCCCCCCCCCCCAACCTCCATTGTTTAAAGCACTAAGAATTCAAGTATAACATACTTCATATGAAAATGTCCTCTATCAGTGCAAGATAAGTGAATTACCATCTAGTGAAGTCGAGGAATAATTATTTTGAAGGGGATTCAATAGGCCATTTAAAGTAATTAATACTCACGTAATGGCATCTTGAAGGGCTGAAAGATGGTCTCGGTGGTAGTTTTTTCTCATCCAGTCCTTTAAATAATAGCTTTTCTTCCCATCAAATCCTATAAAATTAAAGTAATTAGGAGAAAAAATTTTCAAAACAGTTAATTATACTTGCAATTATGCAATAAAATAATATATATATATATATATGTGTGTGTGTGTGTGTGTTACCATTCTCAGTGACGTAGATCAATGGATCATTATAATTATCTTTGTTGTAGCGCAAAATCTCTCGAAATCCTTTAGGATAACTATAGAGTCAGTCTGACCCTGCAAAATCATTTAGCACTATTATCTTGAGGATAAATTTATAGTGCAAGAAAATTAGTCTATCTTTTTTGAACATAAAATGAGTTCAAATCCCAATACAATTATCAGTTACTTAGACGATCGACAAACACGACTATTTGTGTGAAGAGAAAAAAAAAACAGTTAAATAGTGTTAAAAAGAGAGTTGGGTGGTTATTTAGAATCTAAGGTTAAATATTTTAGAAAAGAAACAAAAGGGTGTTTCCATAAATATATTAGGAGTGGATATGAAGCTCATTCTCTCCCTTTAGACGTCGCTCATGCTACGGTTCTATGCGGTCTGAACCCGGGGCTGCATTAGGTTGGGGAGCTGGGGGCGATAAGAGCTCTTTCGCATCCCAAAAGCGCGCTGCCCTCTTAGGCGCACAATACTCGGTAATCCAAGTCGACCCACATTATTGACTAGCGATGGATAATCATATTAGTAAAATAGAGAAGTCTTACAACAATAAACAAGTTGGTCAATAATCAACCTTAGTGATATGTTGGAGCTTTATTTTTTGAGCTACTACCAGGAATTCATCCCGATAATTACATGGTGCACGTGGGACAAAGTTGTATAGAACCAAGAAGATTATTTGAGTGTTCTAATAAATCCACGCACCTCCATAATCATGAAAAAATAAAAACAAAAAATATTATTTTTGTAAACACGTACCTTTTGACCAATAGGTACTCCATCTTTATTCACCTCCGAAGCAACACCTCAAAGCAAGTAAAAACGTGATAAACAATTTGTAGAACAACGAAAACTAATCGAATTAGTCAACCTGATTCGACAAAAGCGATTGAATAAACTAATTAATTGAATGAAACTTACACGTGGCATTAACGCAAGAATCAGTCAAGTAGTTTCCTGTACGACCATATAGACAGGGACGATCGATTGAATAAGAAGCAGTATAATAATTTATCCCGATGAAATCGTATGACCCTTTTACCATCTCCGATTCTGATTTTGAGAATTTGGGTAACCGCTCTTTTACATGCGTCACCATTACATTTGGGTAGGTCCCATTGTATAGAGGATCCATGAACCTTATAAAAACAAACAAGACAGCAATGAACGTTTACTTTTGTATATGTACTCCCTTTTTTGAATTTTTTTTAATGTCATAATATATTTTATATTTTACAAGTAAAAATCTTTATAATAAGACACGATTTTCAGCTTATATAAAACAAAACAACCGCTCAAATCTGACTATTTATCTTGTGACTTATATATTAATCTTATAATGACAATGAAAAAAATGTTTTGATTGTTAGAGAGGGTCTAACTTGAATATTAATACTTTAACGCGCTCCTTCATGTATAGACCAGATTTTGAGTTTACCACGCGAAAATCTTTTAATAATTAAGATGACGGCGAGATTCGAATATAAGACATTCTATTTTGATACCATGCGATATTCGAACGTGAAAAATGATGATGACTATGGTGGGTGGCAACGGTGATGGTGGTGGTAGGCTTTGGGTGACAATGATGATAGTGGTAGCCATGGGTGATGGTGCTAAGTGTGGGTGGTGGTGGTTGACAATGGTGATGGTGGGACGATAACGGTGGTGGTGAGTGACGACGGTGTTTCTTATCGACTGTATGATTGGTGGTGACGAATGAAAGCGATGGTGGTGGTGGTAGGTGTGGTGGGGGTGGTTGATAATAGTTGGCGGCGATAGTGTGCTACAGCGGGTGGTGGTGGGTGGCGATGGGCAACAATAGTGGTGATGGGTGTTGACGGTGGACGACAATGGTAATGGGATGATGATAATAAATATAAGAACGAGATGACAATGATTGTGGGTGGTGGCAGTGGATGACGGAAGTAACAATTGGTGGTGAGTGACGATATTGGTAGTGGTAGTGTGGTGGTTAGTGGGGGTGGTTGTAAGGCAGTGGCAATGGTGGTGGGGTGACGACGACGACGACGATGGTGGTGGTGGTCGTAAGGTGGCGACAGTGGTTGTGATAGTGGCGGTGGTCGTAGGGTGGCGACAGTGGTTGTGATAGTGGCGGTGGTCCTGGGTTAATAGTAGGACAGTGGCGGTGATGGTAAGATGACGACAGCGGTGGCGGTGGCAGTGGTGGTAGATGGTGATAGTGGGGATGGTGGTGGTAGGGGTGGCGACAGAAGTGGTTGTGGTGGAAGTGATGGGGTGGTGGTGGTAGGGCGGTGGGAGTGGTGGGGTAGTGGATGTGGTGGTGGGATGGTTTCAAACACTATTTTTTTTTACAATACTTATGAGAAGTTATAACTCAAAAAAACACTTTTAAAAAGTCATGCTAAACACACTCTTAGCAATTTATTTTTTCTATTAAATTTGTGATGATAATATTAACCGTCAGATTAATTTTAAAAAATAAAATTTAAAAGATCTTAACCACAAAAATTAAAAATTATTTTATTTATCTTTTAAAATTTAAATTAGATTGTACTTTATTATATAGATAGATATATCTAACCTACTTCTAAAGAGTATGGAAAAATAAACCGTTATGCAATTGCTAGGTCTCAATCCTAGGTGGTGTCGGTTAATGAAAAGATCATGAGATTATTAGCCACATTAAAGTAGATAAGAAATGGATGGTAGAATGTACTTACCATCCATACATGAATGCCAGTGCTCGTTTTGCTGCGTCTTGGTCCTTTTCCGACTGATCGTCATAAGGCACAGCCCAATCTACATTAAGCGTAATGCCAATCTGACCTTTTTGAGACTTCTATAAAAGACCAAGACACGGACACAGTTATAAAAAAGATTCATTAATTATAATGTAACAATAAAAAGATCATTAAATGGATGATTCAATTAATATTAGATCGCCCACCGTGAATTGATGGGAGATCAACCTGATTTTAACCTAATTATTACTGAATTGACAATATACTCTGGTATCAACTTAAAAGTTATGGTCCGTTTATTAGGCATGTTTGAAATTAGTTTAGATGGATAATTTTTGTGATACATGTGACAAAAACTGAATTTTGATAACAAATAAGTTTTTTTAGCGAATTTAAGTCAAAAGAAATCCATATAGGGGGACCGATCTTCAAATTTTTCTAATTTTTAAGTGTTTTTAAATAAAATAAGTAAGATACGTTTTAATCTTGATTTTTTTACCAGCTTAAGAAACAATATTTTGGACCAAAAAAATTTATTTACGTTGATTCAAGAAATTGATTTTATGAGTTTTTCTTTTGGATTTTTGGAGTTTTATCGTAAGTCTCACATAATTTTTTTAGTTTATTATATTCATAAAATATTATTAATGACGCAAAAAAAATTAATATTTCGTATTTTGAAAATTATTATACATAATCTATTATACATATAATTATTCTTTTATTTTAACACAAAATAGCCAAAAAAAACTAGAAAATTACTCCAAACAGACCATTGTCCACTAAGTAAATGGCCCACGATGGCCAAACTCAACAGACCAACTCATCTGGGTCAGCCTGTGGGCCATTTGCCGATCCATTATAAAGTAATGAAATACTAACCTGGAAGTTCTCTCCTCTATAGACTTTGACAGCTGCAGCATGAGCAAGAAGTAGATGATGTGAAACCAGGTAAGGTTCCGTCCCCGAATTTCCTTCTTTGCAATCCGAAGTTACAGAATTTACATATCTACTCACGAAAAATGCATAATTCCCATGGAGTGCACTTTGGTCACCGGAACATCTATTAGGAGGAAAAGTACCATATGCATATCCAAAAACACTATAGGAAAATGGCTCATTTATTGTGATCCAATGCTTAATCCTATCACCAAACAGTCTAAAACACAGCCATGCATAATCCGCAAAATCACTCCTGCTCATTGAACAAAACAAAACAAAACATAGGATCAGTCATGTGGGCCACACAAAGACAGATTTTTACTCAATCTATTGTGTATTAGCAAAAGATTCGCTACTTGAATTCATACTGTTGATTTTACATTGAGAATAACCGAGAAAAAATAGCTTATAAGGAATTATAAAACTTTAAAATACAGTATCAATTACATACACAATGGTTTTGTTCAAAAAGCCTCTATATTCATCTTCAAGTGCTTGTGGAAGATCCAAGTGGAAGATGGTCGCAACAGGCTGCATTCCTGGACCAGGAATACAAAATATTTATTTAGTAAATTGATGGGACTCTTCTGAAAAAGCCTATGATAAAGACACGTGTCCTCGGGGGTTTCTAGAATAATGTTGCTCGGGTTCAAGCACCATCGGCAAAGCGTCCTCTCCCCCGAGGTACCTCTCATATAGGATCACATATTCGGTACAGTACACAATGACATGTGTCCTCGGTCACCATGTACCTCGGGAACACACCACCCCTTGGTCCCCCGAGGTGAGCCTTTCCTCGGCGCCGAGGGTCACTCCATCCTGGACGCTTCCTCTACTCCCGGATAAAGTTACTGACGTACGGGACATCAGCCTATGCCAGTCTAGACTATTCATCATGACCTCGTCTTACACAAGTAATGTCAGAGCATGCTGGAGTACAGAAGTCATAGCCAATACGTGACGGACGCGTGGCATATGATATCACATCAAAAACAGGCAAACCGCACGCTATTGCTGACATGCGCTTTGGGAAGCAAACAATTAATTGCACCCTTCTGTTGACGAGACCGCATTCAATGCGGTAAGGTTCGGATATGAAAGGCAATAAATGCTCCTATTACGGAGCATTTATTACATCCTTCCCGAAAGGAGCATATTGTACCGTCGGCGTCCCGACGACTCAACATTGATTGCTCGGGATCCCGAGCAGTCAATTAGAGAAGACATTCCTCGTCAAATCAATACACACGCTGCCAGTGCCTGATGATCACCTACTGACCACACTGACAGCAATCATGAGCTTCTAAGGTATAAATACCCCTCCCAAAAAGGCAAACGGGTATGCAATCACAAACTCTCTACTACGAAATATCCTTTCTCAGTGTTTTCTCCTTCCTCTTTCTCATTCAAAGACTGACAAGATCGTCGGAGGGGATACGCCGGAAAACACTCCGGCGCCCTTCTAACTTGTTCTCTTTTGCCCCAGGAAATACCTTTCGCACGTACCGGATCGTTCCTCCTTTCCCAGGATCGTAAGCTGTTTCGAGCAGTGTGTTTGGCCACTCAATCGGCTCACCCAAAGTTCACCGGGGGAGAGATCTGTTCCCAGTATTTTATATATCGTGCAGGATCAAGCCCGCACATAAATCATTTACAATAATAACAACCAATATCATTGTGAGTCATCCTGTTAATTATGTGTTGGGTAAAACAGATTCGTGTTGGGTCTGAACAAGTTTGTGTTAAAAAGAACTCCATTGATACTCGATTCATTTGTGTCTAATGAATCGTGTCATATTGAGTTCGTGTCGTGTATACCTTATTCTCGACATGAATGACCTGCCTTTAATCGGAGTGGAGATATAATTAGTCAAGTTGGGCGTAACCCAACCAAAAAAAGAAAGAAAGATAGAGGCTTTAAATCACAACCTTGGGACAGGATCTCATTGGTCAGATTGTCGTAATATTCAATTCCTGCTCTGTTCAATCCTCCACTTATCTTTCCACCTAATAACAAAAATTATAACGTAAATTTATGATTACACCAAGTCCTCGCCATTAAAAGGAAACAGAGTCTAAACGAAGATATATTCAAAAAAAAATTATTGTATAATAAACGCAAAGATAAAGACAGATTAACAAAAAAGATAAATGAAAACAGAGTCTAAATGATGGACGTTGACTTGTAGGGACAAACAAAATTTAAATTTCAAATGAGTAAAAGTTATATCAAAAGCGCCACCATGTCAACACCACATTATTTAGTTCATGTTTTTATGTGTCATTTTTAGTACGTGTTCCTCGCATACATATATATATATATATATATATATATATATATATATATATATATATATATATCTCTTACGGGGTAATATTTTGGTCCACGCGATGGAAAATCTGTAAGCATCGAATCCCAAATCCTTCAACATACTTACATCTTCCTGAGAGTTTTTCCAGTCTGCATATCAATAGAGTATAGAGATGAACACAAATTGCTAGCTACCTCATTGAAGCCAATAATCAAACATCAGGAGTGCAAGAAATACCTTGTAACGATGATATGAATCATCTGCAACCTTCCCACTACTATGATCCTTCACCTTATCTGCCGCACATTTCCAAATTTTCAAAGTAAATTAAGACAGTAAATTATATCAATAAATTAGGTTCTAATAGTATTATTTTTTCTTTTTTGGGAATTAATTTAAGGATCAAACTCAAGTGGCCTGAAGTTTCTAGAAAGATGGTCTTTAGAATCTCATACAATACAATGAATTTTGAATCCCAAACTTATCAACATGTTAAAATAGTCTAAATTTATTCAATATTTTAATTCGAGAGACGACATCATCTTTGAAGTTTTGTTTCCTTCCCAAAAACTTGATTTTACAATCCCTCGTTTTACAACATTATTTTTTGTATCTCACACTCCCTTTTCACGCAATTTTGTGATTTTGTCATATTTCACCCAATTTTATGGTTACACTAATGCTTCGTTCGGTATGATGAAAAAATAGAAGGATGAAAATTTAAAAGGATGAAAAGCTGGAGGGATAAATAAAACATCATGTTTAGTAAGGAAGGAAAGTGGGAAGGATGGAAAAGTGGATGAATTAACTTTCCTTCCAGCTCACCAAAATCAATCCCTCCAAAATCGAAAGAAAAATGGATGAAAAGTTAATTATTTGTATTAAAATGTATCTTCTCTCTCTCTCTCTCTCTCTATATATATATATATATTATGTATATATTAATTTTATATAAAAATACAATGGTAAAATATGTATATATATTAAAAAATTTTAAAAATAAAATTAAAAATTAAAATTAAAATTAAAAATTTTAAATTAAAACAAAATATTTTTTCTATATTAACTAAGGGTGAAAATTTTCAACTCAACACGATGACACGACTTGAACTTGATACAAAAATAAACAGGTTAACTCGCAACTCGACACGACACAATTAGTTAAATGAGTTAAGTTAGATTTTACTAATATTCGACACAAACCTGTAATAATTCAACATCAATCTGACATGACACGACTCGATTGTCACCTCTAATTTTATCCGGTATAAAAAAAATAGTCATTTTATTTTTCATACATCCAACCAAAGACAAATGAAGGAAAGTGTATTCTTTCTACTTTCCATCCTTAAATAATATAAAGTATATCTATCCTATTTTTCATCATTTCTACTTTTCATCCTCTACCAAACGAAGCATAAAAAATTTTGGGAAAGTCCTTCGAAGCGATTTCGGATTTTAGGGCAGATAAAAAAGGGAGTAATGCTCCCCTTAAAGCATGAAAAAATTTTGGAAAGCCCATAAGTCTCTGCTATAAAAAAATACAACCTAACCATCATATAGGTTTTCACTTTTTTTTTTTAAATCAAATTACTTTTAACTTCAAATTAAAAAAAAAAAAGCGTTTTCAATCTGTGCGACTATAAATGCATGCCATATCCTGATTTACAAGCAATGTCATTCAGACTTAATTTGAGAATATAATATCAAACTTAATAAATTGTGGTCATTAAAATATGAGTGGGTCTCAAAATGTATTATCAATCTAATAGTTTCAATGCATCAAGTCTCCAAGTTAGATTCACAAATTTGGTCCAACTAGTATTGTTGTTGCAATACCGTACACAAAAAGTCATATCGCTAGGTTTCGATCGAATACTGGTATAAAAGTGAAATCATATCATCGTCATCACGTAATGTTACTATTTAATAATAAACTTATAAGTGGGTAAGGTGCACTCCACTTTGAGAATTATTTTCACATTACCTGGTTTCCAAATGACATGGATGAGGGATTACTAAAATATGTAAATTCCATTTACTTAATTTACTAACCTGATTCAACATAGCCAATGGATTGTAGCGGATTCTAATCAATATCGGAGACCACTGCTAATCCCAAGTAATGGTATATAGTATTACCTTTTCATCAAGGAAAAAAAGGGTTCTAAGGGGGCAATCGAGGTAGAACCCAGGGTGTGACTATAACAGTCCGAACCCATGCCATAACCATCAAGACGTGTTCTAACCTTGAGTTTTCAGGATGGTTGTGTTATTAAACTACCATCTAGTTTATAAGTTTAAGTTCTTAGAGATCCTCACGCTGCAGGCTAAATTTTGGAGTAACACGAGAAAATCTTTTTATAATCGGAGTAGCTTTGAGAATTGGACACAAGGCCTCCTATTCTGATTGTCAAGTGCAACTGTTATCTGTTCTAAAAACTTAAGTTGTTATACAACTTAAGTCTTCATACTTTAATAGGGATATTATCTTAATGACGAGGTAAGACATTAATCTTCGATAATTGATCTTTGTTCAATTGATAATCTTCACCTAACTTTCACTAACAGGTTAATCGATTTGGATTGAATACAGAAGTGCTCATAGTGGCAACCAAAATCTTTCCTGATCGACCTGACATTGGACCTTGTTTGAAGCAACTCCTATAAATTTAAGTGGCCACTAATACATTTCTGTGATACATGTGATTAGTGGTGCTTGGATGCTCCATTAATAAGAATGTGTCCTACCTAGTGGCCACCAAAAGAAGTGTAGTTAGTGATCTTACAACATCTTCAATAACTTCTTTATTTTCACTTGACTTTTTATTTTAGATAACTAATTAAATATCAAAAATCAAATTTGAATAGACGCGATCTGTATTTAGAATAATTAAAATAGATAAGTTTGGCTCTCCACAATTGGAGAGTTTAGTCCACTCTCCATTCTATTTTTAATGAATAAAAAGTTGATACATACACATTCTTCGTTAAATTCTGTAACATGTTTTCTACTAGAATAATTAGTCTGTTGAAGTTGTCTAAAACATTTGTGCAAATTGTATTTTGTACTTTGAAAGATTTTAAATTTTTTACTTTGTACCTTTAAAAATTAATTTTTTTACATTACACTTTCAATATATCAAAAATGTTGTAATGTAATTCTTCTGTTAACTTTTCGTTAGTTTTTCTGTTAGGGTCAATGGGTTAGCTTTTAACAGAAAA